AAAGAAAATTCTTAATATTCAAAATGTGAAGTGTTTCTGAAAGATTTTACTTGAACATTTCTTTTATACAAAATTAAACATCATTTTACAGGCAAACGACACTGAATGAAAGGTTGTTTCTGTCATGTCTAGTGCAAAAATAAGAGAATGATAGGAACTGGTTATCATATTCAGTACAAATATGAAACAGAATTTCAAAGAAATATAAGCCAATTCTGTTTATTATCATCAACTTAATGAAACATTTTATGAACAATTTTCGATGTTTTTCATATTTCTATTATATATGTAAATCGATGAACATCAAACAGAATCAATAAAATTAATTGAGAAAATTGTTTCTAAATGAATGCAAATTTTGTTTTTATTGAAAAGAAAATTAATGCAACCGAAACAACAACACGTATCTAATAATTTATATGACAAGAATTATATATTATTATTACATCCACTATTACTCTTTAAAACAAATCACACATTATCCTACATTAGAAATTATTTTCAAGTCATGTATCCATCGAATAATAATAAGGCTCTGATTTGATTCCATACATTGACTTATTCCATAGCGTGAATTTTATCATACAGATTTATCATCTAATGATTTGAATTATAACATAGATTTCAGGGAAAAAAATGTTGATTTAGATGATACATCAAAATATCAACTATTGATTGTAATGAATAAAAGTCTCTGTCCTACTCAATCTCAACTATTATAAGTCCTAGAGATCTGAAAACTTGTTTGAACATATATACTTTGCCCATAATGTAGCTCAACGGCAAAAGTCTGCCTTGATTATTTAAGAAAGCAGAGAATCATCATAGATGACGATGGACAGCGCCTATTACCGCTTTGAACTTTGTGACTCTGGAAAACAACAGTTTTGTGGATTTACCAACAACTCACTATCTGATATTATGTTCGAGCAATCTGCACAATAGATTTCATAGAAGTTTATGATTCCTTTCTAGAACTGTTCACAGTTTCCTATACCAATCGGTATGGGAAAAATTCATCTACTACTGTATAAAATTAGGATTTATTAATAATTTAGTGGATAAAGCTCAAATTCTTCGAATAGCTTCTTCTGTAGTTGGAAATTACTGTTCATTAGTTTTAGAAACGAATTTTATATTAATGGAAAATAACAAAGCTATAACCATCATATTGATAATGCAAACCTATCAGAGACATTCAAAGACACTATTATTTGAGCAAATCAACTTCTTTTTTAACTATGGAAAATCTGTGACTGTAAAAATATCAAGAATTAATCTAACATTTAATAATAAAAACAATGCAAAATTTAGTGAACAACCTCTTGACAGATTCATTGAACTACATTCTTGGTAGAGTATCAAATTTATTCTATTAAAATTTCATTATTAAAACATTTCTCTTTTTATTTATTATTGACATTCTTTGATAATAATTGCTAATGTACTTCTCGGTCAAAGACAATGTCCTTTTATTAAATTGTTGTATACTTTGTCGATGTAACAACAGAATAAATTTAACGTCAAATTAGAAGTTTTGTTTACATAGAAAGAAATATAGTCTAAATAATTGATTCAATATTCTAGGACAGATCTTATGATTAAAAGATAAAATAATCTTAAATTGTCATTATTAAAATAAATTTGATTATGCGCTATTAATAAAGTATAAAATAATTTAACAAAAATAAATATTTTCTTCATTTAATAAATGTAAGAGAAAAAAAGCTGTGACAAAAAAAACTGTTGATTGATTATTTGGCTTCGTAATCAACTTTATTCCCTGAAGTATCAATCGAAATAAAGTACCAATGATTGTCTTTGTATTACATCGTGATCTTTTATTAATTTAAACAAATTTAGGATCAAAATAAAAAGTGTTTCTACTTAATCAGGAGTTAACATCAACAACAATTACATATACATATATAATATATATATATAACAACAAGAGAATTATCCTAGAAAAGTCACAACGACTTAGATTAATGTAACTAATATTTAAATGTTTATGGCGTGCATGAAAACATTGCTGGGAGAAATTATGCCATAAAGAAATAAAATGTATTAAAGCATTTAATGAGAGAAAAAGAAAAAAAAAAGGGAAATGCAATTTTTCCCTTACTCAAAATATGAACATTAGCTTTGTTCTATTGATGAAGAGAATAATTTGCTAGATATAATATTACATAGAATTGAACACAAATTCAATAAGAAATTTTATTGTAAAAGGTATTTAAAATTTTTGTAAACGAATCATAATAGGTATATTTGCAAGCAAAAAAAAACTGAATAAAAATAAAAAGACAGATTCAAAAGTTCATTGTTCATATATATATGAAATGCATTTTTTTATTGTTATGTGAAAATTATAAATAACAATGACAAGTTCGAGAAGACTCGTTTATTATATAAATGAGATGAGTGACAATCGAGAAGCATGTTGTTGAAAGCCAATTACTTGCCTGTGGTAACGACTAGTAAAATTTTCTTTTTCTTTCACTCTTTCTCTTGCTGTCTTACTAGTTAAACGATAATAGATAATAGAATAAAGAGAGTAAGTAGTTCTAAGAAGAGCATCGTCACCACTCTAGAAAACAAAGAAAAAGTAGGCGTCGTATGCTAGTTATATCTATTTCTATTTTTTTTTTTTCGTTTAGACATTCACACTCGAAGAATTGTTCGTTCAATTACTTAACAATACTGTTTAAAAATATAAGAATGTATTCATTTCATCGAAAACTAACAGCATTCATTTTTATTTTTTTTCTTGTAATCTGCTGTATACACAGTTTTAGAATAGTAAGTCATTCTTATTTTTGATTATTTATTGAATTATTCAGTGATTTTTGTTTTCTTTTTTTTTCGTTTACATTTCAGAATGAACTTGAAAATGCTATAAATGGAAAAAATCTTATCAATGATCAAGCAATTACTGCTGCTCAACTTCATGCTCTTGAACAAGTTTTAAATCGTCGAAGTCTTTATGATCCTGCATATAGCGATTCTTGGTCAAATTATTTGGAAAAAAAGCGTAGTCTATTCGATCCTGCTTATAGTGATTGGGCTAACAGCTTTAAACGATCAGATGAATAAAATATCCAATTAACATCATCAGTTTTTTTTTCTTCGTTGTATAAGAAAATATTGCAATAAAATTTAAACCAAATTTTGAAATATTAAACATAATAAATAACGTTGAAAAACTAACATTATATGTATTATCATGTATTCTTCTTTTTTTTCTCTAATAGACAGCTAATTAATCTACATTTTATAATGAATTTCATATTCTGAAAGACACAATATTATAATTGTTATGAAAAAAAAAAAAACAATATTTTCTCAGATGAGTTGAATATTGTAGACTTTTGAAAATTTCCCAAAAGAGCTCTAGTTGTGATTTATTAGAAAAAATAAGAAATTATCTAAAGAATGTACATCAAAAAGTATTATAACAATAATATTAACTCTTCGAGGACGAGATTAGTTTTTTGAAAAACAAAATAGCGAAAGAAGCAATCTTTGTAAATAATTGATTATCTGTGTTCAATCAAGGGTTTTACCTTTCGAGACTTATGACGAGTATGTATACAAAACGTCTCGAAAGTCCACAGCAATATTAGACAGAAGAATAGATAGATAATTGATATTCAGAGATCTTAACCCTTTGAGAACGGGCGACGCACATATGCGTCACCCGTTTTCAAAGGGTTAATGAGTTTTAAAATGAATTATCCAATGCCATGATGTTGCAAAAATCATGGTATGTTAACTAAGCTCTTTCCCTCAGAAAAAAAAAGAAAGTCCATTTCCGTCAGATTAATTGAAATTAAAATATAATCATGGGAAAATAGCTTTGAGTTGGATTTTTCGTAAGTAATATAAATTTTTATTTGATACATCATTTTCTTCGAAAACATTCGTTTCTTTTTACTTACATAATATGTTTTTCTTAGATAGGATCTGAAATTACTTTTGTTTTTTTTCTTGCCTCGACATATGCTTATCTCATAACGTCTTTCGGAATTCTTGAAGGAACATCATTGTAGCCAATTGGTTTTTTGTTTTATTTGAAAGATTAAGTGCAACTACAGTGCTAAATAGAATCCATTTTGTGCGCTAAGTTTTTTGATTATTATATAAAAAGCATGTCTATAAAGATATGACTATTTTTTTGACAGTTTTTCGAGTTATTGAAATTGACATCCTTTTTCCTACATATAAAAAGTAAGAATTAAAAGAAAATGACTTTATCAAAGATTGTACTCTTACATGCTCTTTCAACTAAAAACAAAGATAAAATGTATGTAATGAAAATCTACAAAGAATTATCCGGTTGTCAAATGAGCTTTTTTTTTTTACTTTTGTTTGCTGAATATTTACCGGAAACGTTATGTTATAAGGCTGAATATTTTAGTATAGCTGCTTCACTACACTCACAACCATATTCTAAAAAATGTCATACGGTTTTAATGTACTTGGCTCAACATCGAGTTTTTAGGGAAGAGGTAACAATTTTAATATTCATAATAATGATTCTTGATCTGAAAAGATTTGTATTATCAAAATTAAATCATCGTATTATTCATTGCATCATATTTTTGTATGATGTTTATATAAATCTTTGTTATTATTTAGCTCGAAATTTTTTCAACAATTGTCTTCTCATTCTCAAATAAATTGCGAAAGATTTTTAACATCGTAAACTTCAATTATCTTCCATAAGATAAATATGATTGATGAATATAAATACTATCTTTTGTATATACCAAGTAGATTTTAAATTCCTAAAAACATATATATATATATATATTAATGTGTAGGGTAGAAAAAAAAAGCACCTATTGAGAATGTCACATGATCAGTATGACACCCTAAATATAAATATATATGTATAAGTTTTAATAAACACAAAAAAAAGTTATTACACGAAAAGAGTTAATATCTGTTTATTGAACTATGCTGTTTTGTTTTCGTCGGTATTTGTTGATCATGTTTTATTGGTTGAAAATTTTGTCGTATTGTTGAAATATTGGTATGTTGATTGATACTAGTAAATTTAATAGAATTTTCATTATTATATGAAGAAATATCAAGGCAAAGAGGATCATAGATATCTGGTTGAAGTAAAATTTCAACCAGTCGATCATTACCATGAATATTCATATCTATATTATCATTATTTGTTATTGATTGTTTGCTCTTTTGAATAAGTTCATTTAAATTTAATGGATCTCTACAATTACCACCTAATAAAGAAAAAGATGGAAACTTGATAAGTTGTTCTTTAGATTTGAACATCTTACCAAAACGTACATGTTTACGTTTTTTAAAAGTATTACTTTTAATAAAATGTGATTGTGTTGATATTGACCATGAATTGTGTTTGTATGACATTATTGAAACGAAATATTTCGAAGAATGTTTAATGGTTATTAAATTGTTGCGTCAGATATAGAGAAGAAGAATGAATATATGATGTGATGTAAGTTCTATTATTTACTTTGACTGTATTGGTGTAATTGAAAAATATAGAACCAATAACAAAATCAAGCAATGATAAATTTAAATATAAAAAATCTGTTTGGTTGATTTATAATTGTGCAATTATGGACAAATTTAAGTATTATATGGATTTAGATAACAAGCAATACAAAATTTTTCTTTAGATTTGAAGACTAAATTGATAAACATATGGTTGACTTTTTATTGATTATATTTATCAAAATGAAAGCTTTATTTGATCATGATATATAAACTAAACCTTTTTATGTTTATTTATTATTGTACACTTCAAATAATAATAATAATAACACAACCTTGCTATTTTTTTTTCTCTTGTCTATCATCTATAGAAAATTTGTTCTTGATGAATGACATTTCTTTGTTTTTTTTACGTTAATAAAAGATAATACGAAGATGAAAAACATCTATAGAATTCTCAGTCATTAAAAAATAATAAAGGGACACTGCCCATATTTTACATCTATCGTTGATAGATATATTTGTTTTATCAAAAATACAACATATCTGTTTAAGAAAAAAAAGGAATATGAAACTATTGTTGCTATTTTGGTTACATAGATCAATCATAAAGATTCAAAGACAAAAAAGAACAATCTATTATTTTTTTTTTTTGCTGAATAAATCCAGATAATTAACTTAATAATATATCTTTTGCTCTATATAATCATATACAAATAAATGCTTTTATCTCAATATGACTGAAGGAAATACTTGAAAATCCATATATATATATATTATTCCTAATTATGTTCATATTTGGCTCTGTTAAGTTTCAATTCAAAGTGCATTAATGTGTTGTATATTGTAAATTGATGACTCATCATCGAGACCTGTCAGTTATGAAATATATGAAACAAGATGATCAAATCTAATGCAATAAAAATATACATGAATATTAATTGTAGAATTTATTTTTTTATGTTCTAGATTAAAATAATAATGGGTGTTCAAAAGAATAAAAACCTTGATTCACATGATACTGTTGATGATCTTGATCAATCTGCTGCACCAGTAAAAAGTATTGAAGTAAGTTACTTGTTTTCTAATAATTTTATTTTTTATTTTTTTGAATGATTTTGATTTAATAGGATAAATGGAAACTTGTACCAGCTTTTCTTAAAATAAAAGGACTTGTTAAACAACATCTTGATTCATTTGATTATTTTGTTAATACTGAAGTAAATAAGATTTGAAATTCTAGTCGTTTTTTTTTTGTAATAATTTATGTTTATAGATAAAAAAAATTATGTTAGCAAATCAAGAAATTCTTATTGAATCGGATCCTTCATTTTATATGAGGTTTTATATTATAAAATAAAAAAAGAATTATTATTAAATTATTTAGAGTTTCTATTTATGTTTTCATAGATATTTAAATATTGAAGTTCTTTCACCATGTATTGATGAAGGTTTTAATATAGTACGACCAATAACACCTCATGAAGTATATCTAATTATTATTTTATTAAAATTTAATATTTCATTATGATTATTCTGTTTCACAAAAATAGTGTCGTTTACGTGATATGTCTTATTCAGCTCCAATATCTGTTGATATTGAATATATACGAGGAAAAGAACGTGTTATACGAAAAGGTCTAGTTATTGGAAAGTAAATTTATTTTTATTTTGTTTTTTGATTATGAAATTTAAGTTATTTATTGAATAAATAAAAAAAAATCTTTAGATTACCAATTATGTTACGAAGTTGTAAATGTGTACTTTATCAAAAGAATGAAGCTGAAATGGCTAAGATGCGAGAATGTCCACTTGATCCAGGTGGTTATTTCATTACACGGGGTAAAAATAAAAAATAAGAATTTTTTTTTTTTTTTTTGTATTTAAATTTTTGATTATTTTCCTTAGGTACTGAACGTGTCATTTTAATTCAAGAACAAATATCTAAAAATAGAATGCTTATTGAAAAAGATTCAAAAGATCGGTTTCAATGTACTGTTACAAGGTATGAACGTTATTGTAAATTTGAAATAAATTCTACTTTTTAAAATATCAAATTAGCAAAAGCTCCAACGTTTTTAAATTATAATTAATTATCAAACAATTTTATAATTTCCAGAAAACGCTGTATTTTCCAGAAGAGGAAAAAAATTGATTTCATAATTCTGACCACCGGAATAGGAAATGGGAGTTACTCTTACATGATCGAGTAACACACAAATTCGTAGATTTGATTCTTTCATCAGTATATATCTAGTTGAGGAAAATCACGATTTTGTTTTATAAAGTTTGACCAAAGGTCTTCGGAGTTGCGAAATCCGAATCTATAATTGATTTCTCGGTCAACTCTCCTAAAATATCCTTTGTCGCAACAATAAATCAAGTAATCCGATTACAGATTCAGATTTCTCGACCTCGAAAACCTTTAATCAAACTTCATAGGATATCATTTATTTCGAAAAACAGCTTTTCCTTGATAAACTCATGAAATTCTCTGTTACTGAGTGATTGACTATGTAATGGTAACTTCCTTGTCCTAATATTGACTATTATTATTAGATAGAACGATCTACTGTGTTCTTGAAAGAAAAATGAAGAGTGATTTGAAATGTCTTCATGTAATTACCAAAGGAGAAACAGCTGATTTCATGTGATTCAATCATTTTTTTCCGAAAAATAGACTTTTAATCCGGTTTCCTGAAAAAATTGTTTTCGAACGAATTGAAAAATCATTTAAACAGTAATAACTATAGAACCATTGTTTAGACACATGTTAATCAGTCGATGATGTCGAGAATTGATTTTTTTCTTCCACAGCTGCAATGAATATGTGAGTTATATAAGGCACAGCTAGTGCATACTAATTCTTCGTATAGTAATGAAAACAAGTAATAAACTATGTTAATTGTATAGAAGTGAAAGCACAATTTATTGTAAAGATGAAAAGTAATAGTAGATATTCTATTTTCTGCAAAAATGTTCAGAATTGAAAATCGAGTTCGATATTCTAGAAATGTCCATATGAATATAACCGTGATTTTCTAAGTGAAAGAATCGAAAGTTGAATATCATATTTTCAAGAAAATTATAGTATATGATTATATCAATTGATTGATATATCTTACTTTTTTTTTAATTTAGTACAACACAACAAACAAAAACAAAAACAGGTGTATATGAAAGTAAAGGTCGATATTTTTTGGCACATAATAGTCTTACTGATGTGAGAAATAAAAAAACAAACATGTCTATTTAATAATTTAATAAGATATATTTTTGTATGATAGGATATTCCAATTGTGATTATATTCAAAGCTTATGGAATTCAATCAGATCAAGAAATAGCTGAATTAATTGGTTTTGAAGATTATATTTTAAATTGTTTTTCAGCATCTATTGAAGAATGTCATCGATTAGGAATATTTACACAAATACAGGTTAGAATTCTTCGAGATTTTATCATTTGATAGTATGTTTGAATCGTATTGACGTTCGATTTTAGTCTAATTTCTTTCTTTTTTCTTTTAATTGTAAAATAATTTTCGAATAAATAAGTACGGAAGAACAAATGATTGATTAGCTGTTTTGAAATGAACCGAAAAAAAAATACAACTTCTGAGCTATTGTAACATTGATCGGCCCGGTTCATGAATGAGCTTTCGAAATTTTTTCAATTTAAACCAGTGCAAACAATAGAGCAGACAGTCTATGAGTGGGGCCTATCAAATAAGAACTCTTTTCGAACATATACTCACTTTCCATAATGACTAAAACTATTGATAATCATCATGTTTTGTTCTATTTCACAACTCCAGTCATAATATATTGTTTATGATTACTTTTATGACATCTTAAGCTCAAGAGCTTTGTTATGTTAGTCGTAGTTGGTTTTCTTATGAGTAGAAATCACTGAAGTATTCATTTTACGTAGTCAAAACAAAATAAGATGTTCAATAAGTCAAATTCATATGAATGAAACTAGTTCTCTGCATTCAATACACATAAATACAGTACGAATTATGAGTATTTTACTAGACTTATTAGATATTAAGTTTTCGGTAAATCTCTTGTCATAAGTGATAAATCTAGTAAAGTGCTCATAATTTGGGAAGAAAGCCCTATAGGCTCTTATCCTATTAGGCTTGTTCTAGTCTCAATGGGTTCTATTTATGTGACAAATATCAGCGCAATGGCTCTGAATCACGTGGGACTGTTCCCTCATAAGTATTGATAAGAAAAATCAAAGAGAAACAACTTTTTCAAAACCAATATTTCTACTCGAATGAAATTATTTTATCAGTTTGCCTAAAAGTATTGATATAAGTGGAATTCAAATTCGAAGAAATAATTGTTATTGATATACCAGTAGATGAAAGAAGAAAGCATAGATACAATATTTGAGTAAATGAAGTATGTGTTATTCCGTAATTGAATAAATTCGCGTCTCCTCTTATCTCATATTGCTCGCTATTATCAAGAAATCTAAGAAGGATTTTAATTAGAAAATTGGTTCATAAGTCGAAGTCATAGGATAAGCTTACAAGGGTAGTTTTCTAAACTGATTAATGGCTTTTAAGTCAGAATTATATGTGCATCATGTAGATTCTAATGAGCGTTGAAAATGCCCTGAAAAGAGTTTAAAATCTTCACTTATTACTTCGAAGATATTGTATTTACAGTATTTTTTTAACCCAATATGATGATCCTTCTCAGAAACATTAGGAAAATTAATTTTTGAATTTCGATTTAAAAGTTTGCATAGCGATAGATCTTCACAACAATAGTTTATTATGAAAGTTTCTCATCTTTTGATTTGTTCCTATCTTGAGATAAGAATATCGAATCTACAAATGTTGTAAACGATACGGTTTTATCATAGACATATTTCAGGATAGGAACCTAAAATTAGTTCT